AAGTAAGTAGGTTTGATTTATGGGTTGTTTGATATTACTGATATTATTGATGTTGTTCTTGTGTGCACGATATTGTATGAAATTATGAGCAAGTGAGTTCATCTATATGCATAATCAAAACGATAGATATTTCACACTTAGCTTCAACGTTGTACGTGTATCCATTTTTCCTCTTTACTACATATAGGTAACAGGAATAATGATGAATAAGGAACTAATCCTGGAGCACAGCGAGGATGAGGGGATGGATGGATGCTGCCTAAGGATTTTGTTTAATTAATATTTAAGTTTGAGTTTATTATGTTTCCGGGCAAAAACCTAGAATTGTATTTTGATTTAAGAACTTAAGCTTCTAAACCGTTTGTTAACCCTGATGGATGTTTTAAAATTGTTTTGAAATAAATGTTTTAAATTGTTTTAAAAATTATTGTGTTTGAATGTTAATCTGGTGACAAACCGATCGAGTGGTTCTTGTAACACCCCGGCCCCCACCCTGGCCGTAAGTGTCCGCTCATAGGATTGTAGACTGGCCCCACAAACCAACACACGTCTTTCCCGCGCACTTTGTCCTCACTCGTGCACGCCCAAGGAAAGTTCCCAGGGGGTCACCCATCCTAGATTGCTTCAGGTCAAGCACGCTTAAGATGGGAATGGGGAGAGCTCAAAAGGATTGATAGTAGTACTCATACCAACAAGGTGCATCTTCTTTTCAAAAGCTCATCACCTAGAAACTCTAAGGTTAAGCGTGCTAGACCTGGAGCAATTTTAGGATGGGTGACCACCTGGAAACTTTCCTTGGGCGCGCACGAGTGAGGACAAAGTGCGCGGGAAAGACGTGTGTTGGTTTGTGGGGCCAGTCTACAATCCTATGAGCGGACACTTACGGCCAGGGTGGGGGCCGGGGTGTTACAAATGGTATCAGAGCAACCCTGCGACCGTGACGGGCCAAGAGAGCTTAGTTCACCTAGCGGGGAAGATCTATGGGTTCAAAAAAAAAAAGATGCAACGAGGACGTTGCATTCCTAAGTGGGGATGAATGTAATACCCCGTATTAAGATGGGAATGGGAAGAGCTCAAAAGGATTGATAGTACTACTCATACCAACAAGGTGCATCTTCTTTTCGAGAGCTCATCACCTGGAAACTCCAAAGTTAAGCGTGCTTGACCTGGAGCAATTTTAGGATGGGTGACCCCCTGGGAAATTCCTTGGGCGCGCACGAGTGAGGACAAAGTGCGCGGGAAAGACGTGTGTTGGTTTGTGGGGCCAGTCTACAATCCTATGAGCAGACACTTACGGCCAGGGTGGGGGCCGGGGTGTTACAGTTCTTGTATTTGGATCCAGCGGGTCGGGATGTTACATTTTGGTATTAGGGTAAATGGTTTTAAAATTAGTCTTCAGACCCGTTCCAAGAAATGAATTTCAAATATAACTTGGATTTTGTAAAAGGGTACTTCAGCAGCTGCATGGACACCTCTCGCAACTCCTCTGTCCTTGGAAGAAAATTAGACTTATTTCTTGTCAGTTATATGTTAGCATCTATTTACGAAAGCTTGATTTGATTAGAATGAGCGGAGCTTTTAACAACCAAAACAAGACCCAAAACATGGATCATAATGTGGAGGCTCAACCAGACCTATTTATTCCTACGTTTTTAGCGAAATTTTTGCAGCAAATGGCGCAATCACGGATGTTTCAACCACCGCCTCTAGCGCCTCCGAGGGAAATAACTTTGAAGACGTTGAAAGACAATGGAGTTGAAGAATTCTTTGGGGATAAGATCTCTGACCACCAGATCGCATTAGACTAGATTGAGCATATAAACAAGACCCAAAACATGGATCATAATGTGGAGGCTCAACCAGACCTAGTAATTCCTACGTTTTTAGCGAAATTTTTGCAGCAAATGGCGCAATCACGGATGTTTCAACCACCGCCTCTAGCGCCTCCGAGGGAAATAACTTTGAAGACGTTGAAAGACAATGGAGTTGAAGAATTCCTTGGGGATAAGATCTCTGACCACCAGATCGCATTAGACTAGATTGAGCATATAAAATGGGTACTAAGGATTCTGAATGTTCCAAATCTGGATCGCCCTAATCACGCATTACAGCTCCTTTGAAAAAGAGTATATGAATGGTGGAAACACACTTATGAGACTGCACCCTAGACCTGGACGTGGGAGTACTTCGATTGGGCTTTCAAGAAGGAGTACATTCAAGCTCGTTTTAGAGACGAGAAGTGCACTGAATTCATGGAGTTGAAACAAGGAGACATGACTCTCCCCGAACTACGACAGAGTTTTGACCATTTGGCACAGTTTGTGAATATGCTAGTATCCACACAGGTAGATCGTATTGAAGAGTTTTGCAAAAGGTTGCGCCCTGACATTCGACCATATGTATCAATATTGAACACTACAGATTTCTCTAAGTCTTACGATCTGATGGCCAAAGCTGAGAAGGATGTCGATGATTACAAAGCTAGTTTGAAGGCGAAAGAAGCTAGGCCAAGTACGCACCCAACTGTGTGTGCCGTGCCGAGTGCGAATAAGCCATTAGGTGAGACCGGTAGAACCTCTCATCCAAAGAAAGGTAAGACCATCCTGATTCAGTCAGCGCCAGCCCAGTCTGTGGCGTCTAGTGGTAAGTCGAAGACTTCTAGTTTTCCGCTATGTGCTACCTGCGGAAGGACAAATCCAGGCGAGTGTTGGTACGATCAGGAATTGTGTCTAGGTTGTGGGCAGGCTGGCCACTTCCAAAGGAACTATCCCACTAACCCGAGCACTACCCATGTGCAAGCAACACTCGTAGTCAAACGACCGCACCGCAACCAAAGCAAAGTCAACATATGACTGCAGAAACAAATCAACAAAGAAATCAGAATCAACAGCCAAAACAAGATCATGCGCGCACTTATGCAATGATAGGATGCGCTAACCCTCAAGACAACAAAGCTTTTGATGGTACGCTTCATAAGTTAACTTGACTGCAATTAGTTGACTCGAATGTGTTTCCCATGTGCAAATTTGTGTGCATGTGTTTTGAGTGGACATTAGATTAACAAATTTCGGGGACGAAATTCTTGTAAGGGGGAGAGAAATGTAACGACTCGAAAACCAGCTTCGCAGTGAGCCATTATTTTTATAGAAATAAATGTAATATTTTATTATATTTATAGTAAAAATTATGAAATATTTGTAAAGTTGACCTTTTATGTAAAAATTACATTTTTGGGTAAATCTTGTAAAATGATGACCAACAGTTTGTTAAGTATGGACTTACGTGTAAAGCATGATACAGTTCAACAAATAAAAAAAAGTTTGAAAAATATAATTATAACAATATATGGGAAGTTTCCTATTCTACCCAAGTCACACACTATGAAACTCCAACCCACCCAAACATAGAATATTGCATTTGCATATATATTTGATGCCGTAAAAAAAACAAGTTGGTTTGATCAGGCTTAAAGTATTTGAATACCGATACAATGTTTCGTTTGTCGATGTCATAATAATGGGGAATAATATTACAAATTTAGCAATGAAATGTTTCGCACTACATCAAATTAAATTTTACTGCAACAATGGGTTTTTTTAACTTGTCCAAATGCAGAGAAGAAAAGAATAATTACTTTAAAAAACTGTATGCCGTAGCGCAATCAATAATAACCTTCAAAAACTTCATTATGGAAATTCGGAAAAAGACGTTTGATCTACTGGTAGCTCTTGAATCGCGCCATATCCTTCGGGCAATGTGAACATGGCAGATGCTTCAGAAAAGCCTTTGAATGAGAGAGCTAATGAGTAACCTAAAGCTTTGACAACTAGAACAGCAACTGCATTTCCCACTTGTGTGTACTTGTCTTTGATCGAGCCACAAAGCTTGTAGTAATCAGGAAATCCCTGTAACCGCGCGTTTTCTGTGATTGTGAGAACTTGGTCTTGGACAGGGTACCAAATGGCCTGATTGTGAGGCTCAGCCCTGGTGACAACGGTTGGGACAGTTTCATCCCACCATAATCTTTTGAATGGCTTGGTCGAAGTCCCTTTCACAAAAGAGATAGCATAGTTAGGTACCAATGGCTTCCCAAAAGGCAAATACACTCTTTCGACATTTGGATCCAACTCAACCTTATTGCCAACCACGCGAACACCAGGTAAATCTCTGTAAACCGCTGATCGTACAAAACTTGTCCAAGCACACCATCTCGCCCAAGTCTTATAAACCGCTGAAAATGAGTTTTTGGATCATCAACATAATGCATCTCTTCTCTAACCTCAGTATTCTCAACTTTAGAAAGATCGGAAATGGCATCTTCAAGAAAGAGTGCGTCCTTTAGGTTGACATCATGGTTTTCATAATCAACATCGTTGCACTCAAACTCTTTGGAAATGACGCCTCTACTATCAACTTTGTGGGCTGGCAAAGGAAATTGTGGCAGCTTCTCTCCTTGAAGGGCACCCCACAAAAAGACACGCATGTGAAATTGTGAGAGGCCATATGCTCCACCTACAAGCATACCCATCCGTGCCTGATAATTCATCCCTACAAGCCGGCTTAAAGCATATCTCCCAAGAAACCCACTTGGAAATTTTAAAAGATCAACAACATTCTCCATCAACACAAACTTTGGCCTTAAAAAATCAACCAAATCCATATAAGTTTTCATTTTCTCACTTTTTGGATCCTCCAAAGAATTCTTAAAGTTCCTAAATCGATTGAAGCCACTTATTCCTAGACAAGGTGGACCGCCGCAAATAACATCAACATGTCCTAGTAGAGGCGGTCTTTTTTCTTTAAAGCCATTGACAAAAAATTCTTTGATCTTTTGAGGGAAACCACTTAATCCCTCTATTGGTTCCCATGTGTCATAATCATCATCATACCCCTTCCAATGTATCTTAAAATATAGGCCAGACTTTCTACCACCATTAGGCTTTCTGTAACAAATATCCAAAATATGGTCAACCTCATACACTTCACCTCCATTATCATCATCATCTTCATCATCATCATCATTGCTCTCTTCTTCTTCCTCATCACTTGTTGACATATCCAAATTAGGGTGAGGGGAGCAGTTGCTTGTTATCAACATTCAAGAGGCACAAAGCTGCTGCCATTCTTTTAAAAGGGCCAAAAATGTATCAGCTGGCACATTCATCACATTTGTCTCTGGGTGGTTTAGTCTTAAGCTATCACATGCAGGTCCATTCATATCAACAGCCCATTTTCTAACCAAATTAACATTGCCACTATTTGCTCCTAAACATAGTCCTATGGACATTCCGCCACAACCAGAGTAAATATCCAAGAGCGTTTTCTCTGAATTAAGCTCTCTAACTTCTACCCCATCGGACTCACTAGAGATTGTGGAAGTGTGCACATCGGCAGCAGTGAAATCGTGTGGCAGGTTCAGAAATGTAGAGCAAGGAACAACATATATCATATCACAATAAAAATCAGATTCAGGTGGAATTATATCCCTTGAAACATAATTTCCATTGTATGGTATGCAATGTATGCTGACTTTTTTTATAAGGCAGTCAACGTTATTATCGTCCTTGATTTCAGAAAAGAATACACGGCGAGGGTCAACAAACTGATCACATGATGTGATGAGAGTCTCCTTGTCTCTATAATACCATTGCGCTGTAAAATAGCACACACCATCAACTGCTTCAAACATTTATACAATTTTAGAAATAAAGTTATCTTCACTCTCACCAGCTATAACACCCTAACTCGAATAACCCGATGATCTAGATTATTTGAGCCGGAGTAGTTACCATAATGGTAATTACGCATGATAATTTGAGGAATAATTGAAAACCAATTAAATATTAATATATAGATAAATTCAAATATTAAATTTCAGAGTAACGTTGAAACAGTGCGGAAGCTTAAATATAAAACATAATTAAGTCGTATTAGATTTTATGGGAACTTGCCCGAAAAGGTATTAATTAAAATAAAGCATAGTAGTTGTGGTCCACCAGTCCGTACATCAACATGTCATGGTACATCTCATCACTCTCATTGACCTCCGGGATGGGCTCCATGTTCAGTATTATTACCTGCGTGTAGCAAGTACTATGCTTTACTTGCTACATGGACTGGTGGGCCACAACTACTATGCTTTATTTTAATAAATACCTTTTCGGTTGAGTTCCCATAAAATGTTATACGACTTAATTATGTTTTATATTTAAGCTTCCGCACTGTTTCAATGTTACTCTGAAATTTAATATTTGAATTTATCATTTATATTAATATTTAATTGGTTTTCAATTATTCCTCAAATTATCATGCGTAATTACCATCATGGTAACTACTCCGGCTCAAATAATCTAGATCATCAGGTTATTTGAGTTGGGGTGTTATAGCTGGTGAGGGTGAAGATAATTTTATTTGTAAAATTGTAGAAATGTTTGAAGCAGTTGATGGTATGTGCTATTTTATAGCGCAACGGTATTATAGAGCCAAGGAGACTGTCATCACATCATGTGATCAGTTTGTTGACCCTCGTCGTGTATTCTTTTCTGAAATCAAGGACGATAATAACATTGTCTGCCTTGTAAAAAAAGTCAGCATACATTGCATACCATACAATGGAAATTCTTTTTCAATGGATATAATTCCACCTGAATATGATTTTTATTGTGATATGATGTATGTTGTTCCTTGCTCCACATTTCTTAACCTGCCACATGATTTCACTGCTGCCGATGTGTCCACTTCCACAATCTCTAGTGAGTCTGATGGGGTAGAAGTTAGAGAGCTTAATTCAGAGAAAACGCTCTTTGATATTTATTCTGGTTGTGGCGGAATGTCCATAGAACTATGTTTAGGAGCAACTAGTTTCAATGTTAATTTGGTTACAAAATGGGCTGTGGATATGAATGGACCTGCATGTGATAGCTTAAGACTAAACCACCCAGAGACAAATGTGATGAATGTGCCAGCTGATACATTTTTGGCTCTTTTAAAAGAATGGCAGCAGCTTTGTGCCTCTTGTATGTTGATAACAAGCAACTGCTCCCCTCACCCTATTTTAGATATGTCAACAAGTGATGAGGAAGAAGAAGAGAGCAATGATGATGATGATGATGATTATAATGGAGGTGAAGGTGAAGTGTGTGAGGTTGACCATATTTTGGATATTTGTTACAGAAAGCCTAATGGTGGTAGAAAGTCTGGCCTATATTTTAAGATACATTGGAAGGGGTATGATGATGATTATGACACATGGGAACCAATATAGGGATTAAGTGGTTGCCCTCAAAAGATCAAAGAATTTGTTGTCAATGGCTTTAAAGAAAAAAGACCGCCTCTACCAGGACATGTTGATGTTATTTGCAGCAGTACACCTTTTCTAGGAATAAGTGGCTTCAATCGATTTAGGAACATTCAGAATCCTTTGGAGGATCCAAAAAATGAGCAAACGAAAACTTTCATGGATTTGATTGATTTTTTAAGGCCAAAGTTTGTGTTGATGGAGAATGTTGTTGATCTTTTAAAATTTCCATGTGGGTTTCTTGGGAGATATGCTTTAAGCCGGCTTATAGGGATGAATTATCAGGCACGGATGGGTATGCTTGCAGGTGGAGCGTATGGCCTCCCACAATTTCGCAGGCGTGTCTTTTTGTGGGGTGCCCTTCAAGGAGAGAAGCTGTCACAATTTCCTTTGCCAGCCCACAAAGTTGATAGTAGAGGCGTCATTTCCAAAGAGTTTGAGTGCAACAATGTTGATTATGAAAACCATGATGTCAACCTAAAGGACGCACTCTTTCTTGAAGATGCCATTCCGATCTTCCTAAGGTTGAGAATATTGTGGTTAGAGAAGAGATGCATTATTTTGATGATCCAAAAACTCATTTTGAGCAGTTTATAAGACTTGGGCGAGATGGTGTGCTTGGACAAGTTTTTTATGATTGATAGGCGTGTCGTAGCACCTACAAATTAATTTATTATTTTCCTTAACTTAAATCCTCCTTTATTAATTAATATTCATTAAAACATATAGATAGGATAAGTAAGGGTCGATCCCAGGAGGAAAGATACATTTTATCGTTATGAAAATCAGTTCTCTTGTCACTTTTATTGAATAAAAACTAACTAAAATCTAAAAACTAAACTAAAGGATATGGGGGGTGGGTTTGAATGATAATTCTAAAAAGATAAAAATGCAAATAAAATAAAGATAAAGGATAAAAGATAAGAGATGGAACCACAGTAGCAACTCGAACTCAGAAGACACTCAGGGAGAAACAAACACACAACCAAACACACATTTAAACTTTATAAAACGTAGACAATAATAATTAACTTAAACCATTTTGAAAATACTTATAGTTTTTAATAAAAAATAAACTGCACAAATCTGATTAACCAATTAATTATGCCTGGATTCTGAAATTAAACTGCTAATTAAACTCAGGATTAGGCTGAAGAAGAGGTCCTTCAACGGTTCTTCCCTATTTTCCCATTCATATTAGCTCATGTTAGGACCAACCCTAACTCTAAACCCTACTATCCTTAGCAACCCAAAGACCAACCCTTAAGTTACTACTAAGAATAGCGCATTAAGATTTGTGAAAAACATCACCATAACAATCTTGGAGTAACACTACGGTTATTTAACAAAATCAGTTCGAGAACCTTGATTAGCAAAATCCACTTAACGAGGCAGCCAAAGCTAATCAAGTGACACTTACTTTCTAAAAGAGTTCGGCTATTTAAAGCACTTTGGACTTTAAAAGAATATCAATTTAAACTGGTTTAGGTCGCGATCCTAATTTGGTCCAATTTAAGTAAAATCTAGTGAATAATAGTTCTCAGAACACCATTTTGAGTTTAGATTTAACAGTAGCGTAGACCTAAAATTCCTTCAAAGTCAAATTGATTCAACAAAAACAACCAAATCAAAGATTTAATCTTTTTGTCAAACAATCCGTCCTAAGAAGGTTTTATAATTTCAGAGACAATAATAAATCAATAAATCATATTTGAACAATTCAACATTAACAAACATCCAAATCAACACTTATAATATAACTTAAACATTCAACAAACATGGAATTGAAAATAGACATATTTAAATATTGGAAGTCAAATTCATCAATTTGGGAAAATTAACAAAATCTAACATCCTCATAAGAACAAAATAAGATTGGAAAGGGAAAAAGTTGCTCCCTGGAGTGTGCTTCTTCGTACTGTGCAAAAACCCAAGCACCAGACTCCATTGCTTTCCTCCACAATAGCCGTTGCCTCTGTCCCCTGCTCCAGTACCCGTCGCCACCATCGCCGGAGTTGAGTCGCCGAGTGCCGCGCCGGACCTAGGGTCGAAACCCTAGGTCGGCTCTCTCTGTTCCGTTTCCGTCTCCGCCCCTATTTTGTGTGGCCTCAACTTCTTTTATAATTGAAATGAGAAGAGATTGAAATGGAGGAGAAGTCTCCGTGCGGTCTAATGTTTGCTACTTTGCTCCTTCACGTTTCCTTCTCTTTTTTTCCTTTTGAGTTTTCTTTTTTTTTGACATTTCAACGATATAAAGAATTTGGTAAATGGATTTCAATGCTCCTTATTAATCGGGCTGACTTTGATTTTGGCCCAATCACTTCTTCCTTTCTTTAATTTGGCTCCAATCTCCTGAGGTCCAGCTCTTCATTTCCTTCAACTTTTGATGTTTTAAAATATATCTAAAGAATTTTGTCAAGAAAAATAACACATCCAAAAATAATTATCAAAATAATAAAAATGCTCAAAATAATGTATTTTATGTATAATATGCAAACAATGGCCTAAAATGCTAAATATTACGGAGTACAAAATATGCTCATTTAGGTATAAAATGCATATTAAATATATCAAAAGTACTAAGAAATGAGAGAATAAAATACGACATTTTGTGACTTAACAATGATCGTTGTCCATTACAGTTGAATGAAGACGATTATCAACGCGTATGCCATGTTCCAAAGAGGAAGGGCGCAATATTTAGAGATTTACCTGGTCTTCGCGTGGCTGGCAATAAGGTTGAGTTGGATCCAAATGTTGAAAGAGTGTATTTGCCTTCTGGGAAGCCATTGGTACCTAACTATGCTATCTCTTTTGTGAAAGGGACTTCGACCAAGGCATTCAAATGATTATGGTGGGATGAAACTGTCCCAACCGTTGTCACCAGGGCTGAGCATCACAATCAGGCCATTTGTCACCCTGTCCAAGACCGAGTTCTCACAATCAGAGAAAACGCGCGGTTACAGGGATTTCCTGATTACTACAAGCTTTGTGGCTCGATCAAAGACAAGTACACACAAGTGGGAAATGCAGTTGCTGTTCTAGTTGCCAAAGCTTTAGGTTACTCATTAGCTCTCTCATTCAAAGGCTTGTCTGAAGCATCTGCCATGTTCACATTGCCCGAAGGATATGGCGCGATTCAAGAGCTACCAGCTGATCAAACCTCTCCTGCCGAATTTCCATAATGAAGGTTTTGAAGGTCATTATTGATTGCGCTAAGGCATACAGTTTTTTAAAGTAATTATTCTTTTCTTCTCTGCATTTGGACATGTTAAAAAAACCCATTGTTGCAGTAAAATTTAGTTTGCTGCAGTGTGAAACATTTCATTGCTAAATTTGTAATATTATTCCCCATTATTATGACATCGACAAACCAAACATTGTATCGCTATTCAAAAACTTTAAGCCTGATCAAACCAACTTGTTTTTTTACGGCATCAAATATATATGCAAATGCAATATTCTGTGTTTGGGTGGGTTGGAGTTTCATAGTGCGTGACTTGGGAAGAATAGGAAACTTCCTATATATTGTTATAATTATATGTTTCAAACTTTATTTTTATTTGTTGAATTGTATCATGCTTTACATGTAAGTCCATACTTAACAAACTGTTGGTAATCATTTTACGAGATTTACCCAAAAATGTAATTTTTACATAAAAGGTCAACTGTACAAATATTTCGTATTTTTTACTATAAATCTAATAAAATATTACATTTATTTCTATAAAAATAACGGCTCACTACGAAGCTGGTTTTCGAGTCGTTACATTTCTCTCCCCCTTACAAGAATTTCGTCCTCGAAATTTGTTAATCTAATGTATATGTCCACTCAAAACACATGCACACAGATAAGCGATTTGCAGTATAAAACGGGCAAAACTAACAACTAAAAAGAATTGTAAGTAGGGTGTCGAACCTCAGGGAGACGTGAGTTAATTTAATTTTAACAAAAGTTTACAAAAGAAGTTGTAAAATATTTTTTGGTCTTTTTGGTTTTAGAGATAAAATAAAAAGTGTAAAAAGAGAGAGTTCCGAACAATACAAAGTTTTTGATGATAAAAAGTTAGGGGTAGAAATTGGTAAATTAATTGTCCAATGTTTTTATAAAAGTTGGATTATCAATTTATTTTTATATAGAATGTGTGGGGTTGCAGAAAAATATTTAGGGACGCTCTCGCAGTTCACCTAAATAATAACTACTTCTACTTTAACACGCTAATGATAAATCCGGAGTAATTATTTAGTAACAATGGCAACCATAATTATTTTATTGTATGTTTACCCAATTTAATGGTGTAAAAATACAACTCAATAATTATGTCCACCCGAAAGTCTTCAATCCCGGTTAAAGGTAGAGAAGGCTTACGGTTTATTTAAAAAGTGTTCTATTTTATGATTATATCAATTTTAGCTCATATTCCTTGTAACAATTATGTTTATGATTGGGCGATTGATTAAAAATCACAAACATTCCAAATTTATTTATTTTTAAATACAACATCTAAATAAAATAAAATTAACAATCCATATTAAAATATTCAAAATATTAAGATGGACAGTTAATTACAACAACTTCTAACCCCAATGGAATTTAGAAGTACATAGTTTGAAACTTAAACAAATAAATATTTATTGCAAACATAAAAATCTTACAAAATGGAAGATGTGTTCTTGAGATCCAAATATGATAAATGATGATGAAGATGGAGTAATTTTTATGTGTTTGGATGAAGAAAGTAAGGAGATATTAGTGATGGAGGAGGAGAATTTCGGATTGGAGAGAGGAGAGAAATGGGGGGTTCCAACCTCTTAGGAGAAGAGAGGAGATGGAATTTTATAGATAAATTCGTATTTACGGAGTATATACAAACAATAGTACAATATGTCAAAACATCTCCTGTAGCGCACATGGAAATGCAACTTGTTGTTGTGCACCGTAACTCGTGTTCGAAGCTTCCCACCCTTTAACTGTTTGTCATTTTTCTCTCTCAATTCATGGGCCAAATTTTAAAACAGATAAAAAACCGTAACCGCCAGCAATGTGACGAACAATATCCGGTGGCGCGATGGGTCTTAGTCTGATCCACTACCTGAAGTCCAGGGTTTAAAACCCAATGGCATTTTTCTCATTTTCTTCAAATTTCTTCCATTTCTTTTTGTCTCAAATTGGCATGTTTATTCTCCGTTCTTGCAATTATTATCAATGCGTCCAAATGACCTCAAAATACCTGCAAAACATATAAAACCAAGCATAGGATCGCTCTACCAAAATAAAACGGAAAATTGACATAAAATGTAAACATTAATTCAAATTGGGACTCAAAACTCCTTCAAAATATGCCTAAAAAGTGTATAAAATATGTGCATATCAACTCCCCCCGCACTTAGACTTTTGCTTGTCCTCAAGCAAAATAAACTACAAATACAATCTTTACATGTGTTGTTAGAATTCACATACATAACTTTAAAAATCACACAATTATCTCTTTTGTCCACCGAACTATCCAAGACCCATGAATTGTCACAAAATAATAAAATGAGAGTAACTTGAGTAATATTGCCTATCCGAGAAACTTTCATGTTAATAATCTAACATAAACACCTATAGTGCTAAATTAGTCAAACTAATACAAACAAAGTTTCTCCAATCCAATTATTTTTAAAATTGACACAAAAAGATCAATTAGGACTTTTATTCGGCTTGTAACGGGGCTAAGGGTAATATGGGTAAACAAAGAAAGGGTATAAAGGACAAAAAATATAGATTATACTTATTTTGATCAGAAACTCAAAAATTACTACAAATGTAACTATGGAGCAAGATAAACAAATGACTCGAAAATGAAAAATGACCATTATTTTACGAAGAATACAGTACATGGTACGGGCATTTTTTATTTATTTATTTTTTTATGCCCAAGAAGAATAAATTCTAAAAATCTAAAGAGTTCAAGATTAGTTTGCTTCTTTTTTTCAACTTTTTTTTTTTTAATTTTTTTGCTCTTTTTTTTCTTTTTTTAAACTTTTTTTTTTAACTTTTTTATCCTTTTTTTATTCTTTTTTGAAGGCACACTAAGTTATTATTATCTTTACAAAGATAAAGAATGTACAACTTTAATACAAAAGAAAGAATATGACATACTTATTTACAAAAAATACACAGTTCTCCCATCATTAACTCTTTTTTTTCAAGTTCCTTATCAAATAATAAGTCAATCTACTCTTGGGTGAAGGGATATTTTATTTTGGCAAAATGGTTTAGGGTTAAATATTTACATGGTAACAAGAAAAAAAATGACAAACAAGAGATAAGTGGTAACACTTACGTACAGAAAAAGGCTCAAAAGGGAACAACTAGAATTTTTTTGTTTTGAATTGGGTAGGCTTGGTTTGAGAGGTTAAACAAAGATGACCTATATCATGTCTAAATGTGTCAAATTAAAACATCATTTTCATGGAGAACAAATGTGAAACATCATGGTCTATAAAAGTTAGAACTAGATTTAACTAGTAAACCAATAAATTGGAAAAACTCTATGGTATTCTATGTTAAATTATTAACAGAAATTAACTCAACGCTCGGACACAGTTACTCTCAAGATGTATAATGAAACAATTCTCAAACTCATACCACATTCCGTCAAAAGAGATGATTTTGTAATTTACAAGGTTATGTATATAAATATTAACAAGACATATAAACAAAGAGTTTGTAAGTTCAATTTTACTTTTTGAATCAAGACTGTTCATTATTCAGCACAAACACACAAAAAACAAAACAAAAATGAAAAATAATAATAATAACTTTTTTTTCTTTTTTTTATTTGAAAATGCACATAAATAATCAAGTTTTATCTACCCACTCCCCCACACATAAAATTTACACTGTCCTCAGTGTAAAATAAATGAAGGAGAAATAAGTAAACAATTCCTAAAAAATTGGTAAATTAATTTTTTTTGTACATGTCGTGGAAAACGCCTTATTGAAATTCAATTACCTTATTAAAAAAATCAGAATTTGAAAACTTGGGTTGCCTCCCAAGAAGTGCTTATTTATGGTAATTAGCTTTACCAATGCAATCACTTATATTCAGGCATTTCGAGGAAATGGAGAAGCATTCCCTCTTGGTGATCGTTGGCAAGATAACGCTTCAAACGTTGCCCATTTACAATGAATTTGGCGTTATCTTTGCCACAAAGTTGCACAGCTCCGGAGGGAAATGCTTCCACTACCTCGAATGGTCCGGACCACCGGGTCCTCAGCTTACCAGGGAACAATTTAAAGCGAGAGTTATAAAGAAGTACCTGGTCTCCTGGTGCGAAATCTCGTTTAGAGATTACCTTGTCATGCAGTTGTTTGGTTTGCTCCTTGTAGATTTTGGAATTTTCATAAGCTGCGAGTCTGAACTCCTCAAGCTCATTCAACTCCAACATTCTCTTTTCACCCGCCAATGAGAGATCCATGTTGAGATTTTTAACCGCCCAAAATGCTTTGTGTTCTTGCTCAACAGGTAGATGACATGCCTTCCCATACACAAGATGATATGGGGAGGTGCCAATGGGATTTTTGAATGTCGTGCGGTATGCCCATAATGAATCGTCAAGCTTGCGAGTGGTACGGGGCCGAGAGTCGGTGATGAACCCGTACTTTGCAAGAACTCGTCCCAATGCTCTATTGCAAAAATGGGTGCCATTGTCGGTGATGATTGCTCTTGGGACTCCAAATCGAGAGAAAATGTTCCCTCGAATAAATTTGATCACCGCTTTTGAATCATTTGTGGACGTGGCAATTGCATCAACCCATTTTGATACATAATCCACACCCACAAGGATGAATTCCTTTCCATTTGACTTCAGAAATGGACCCATAAAATCAAGGCCCCATACATCAAATACTTCAACTTCAAGAATGCCCCTTTGAGGCATTTCATTTCTCCTCCCGATGTTTCCAGTGCGTTGAGAACTGTCGCAGCTTTTAATAAAGGTGTTGACATCCTTGAAAAGAGTAGGCCAAAAGGAACCAGATTGTAACATCTTTACTGCTGTGCGGGAGCTACCATGGTGTCCTTCGTAGGCGGAAGAATGGTAATGATGTAAGACATTTGTAACTTCATCCTCGGGCAAACATCTTTGTATGACTCCATCAACACAAATTTTGTAGAGGAATGGTTCCTCCCAGATGTAAGTTCGAGAGTCATATTGCAACTTCTTCTTTTCTGCATGAGTTGCTCCGGTTGGAATTATTCCATTTGAAAGATAATTCGCTATGTCAGGGAACCATGGATCAATACTTTTAGCCAGCATAAGTTGTTCTCCGATGAAGTAATCATTGATCGGCATACTTCTTGCTTCGGGAATTTCCAACCTTGATAAGTGGTCCACAACCACATTTTCCGACCCCTTCTGGTCTTTGATCTCCATATCAAATTCATGTAGTAAAAGAATCCATCTTAGGAGCCTTGGTTTGGAGTCTTTCTTTGCCATGAGGTATTTGATAGCAGCATGATTAGTGTACACAATAATTTTTCTTCCGATGAGATATGATCGGAACTTCTCAATGGAAAAGACTACCGCAAGAAACTCTTTTTCAGTTGTTGCATAATTGAGTTGTGCATCATCA